CCCCCAAAGGGGCCGCGACCCACAGGTTGAGAACCGCTGCTTTAAAAGGTGATCATCAAGAGGAGAGGGTCTCAGTCCCTGTCTCTGTAGGATAGAATCATAACTTCGATGATTGTCAGCTAAGAGGCACTGCCCCACCTTATCATTTACACTGACCAAACCCTTTGTAATTTGTCACTTCCCTGACTCTATTGAGCCAAGATAGCAAACCCTGTCTAGTTCCTCACCTTTTAAAATAACCAGTCCCTCTGCACAAATCTGAGTTCAGTTCACACAGAAATTTGTATTGTAGCAGTAAATTACTCATTAAGAGCTGTCCTTACCACTTTAACTAGTGTCCAACTTTATCTTTGACAAAAATAAAGTAATAAAGAAGGAACGTTACGTTAAGTTAAACATATCCCAATTAAAAGATTAAAAGGAAAAACATATCTCAAGTAGTAAAGACTTAGTTACTTTATATAAGATCATTTAGATATAAAGTTCTTTTTTTAAAAAAAAGCATGAAGGCTGCAACTTCATGAAGGGATCATAAATTCAGGGAGTCAACCAATCAACATTTGGAGCTGGAAAGAACACCTGGTAAACATCAAACCCCAACCCTTCATGTTACAAATGATGAATCTAATGCCCAAAGAGATTAAGTGACTTACCCAAGGTGATTTAAATGAGGGACTGGATTAGAAAAGGCTAATTCAGCATGACTGTCTTCCTGACTCCAATATGAAATATTCTTTCTCTTGCATTTTCATTGGTAAAGGCAACATTCACCATTAATCATTCAAGGTCAAACATGAACATATATTACCCTAGTACAATGTGACTTTTTACAATTCCACTATACACCACAACTGTACATCGAGGACAGTTTGTTTGATGCAAGTACACATAAGATTTCATTTCATTTGGGGAGGCTATTTCAATAGTCCTAGGGAAATATATGAAGCACCTTGGTGAAGAGAAATTGCTTTCACACAAAGAAACAAATCCCCATGCATAAACCCAAAGGAGGGCCAAATGATGTAGATAGTCTTAGGAACAACCAAAAGAAGAAAAATAAAAGTAGATAAAAAATCCTTTTCTGCACTTACCAGCAAAGCATTTGGAACAGAGGTTCATAGTCTT